ACTTGGGATTTGTATTTGAGTACGTGTATGTAAATGTATTTGTGGTTGCATGGTGTGTGTGTGCACAGGTGTATGTTGTGTAATTGTGGCATATGCGTTTACACAGGTGTCTATTTGTGTCTGTGTTAGTTGAGATGCATGTCTAGGTGGGCATTTGTGTGGTTGTATTTGTGGAGTGCAAAAGTAGATGTGTTCAACTGTGAGGATCTGTGATAGCATGTGTGTGGGAGTGTGCTGGGGGTCTTGGGTGCGGGGCTGTCTTCTCTCCCACCTCCCCACACGTGGGTGACCTTCTTACGCCCGCTTAGGACTGTGGCTGAAGTCACAGGCATGCACAGGCCAGCTCTTGCCCCCTCCAGAGACCTGTGGCTGACCAGGTCTTTGGCTTGCCTAGGTCTTTGACCAAGGTGGGCACCAGGGGCAAGGGTGGGTCGGTGAGCCTGGGGCCAGGGTTCATGTGCCACCCCTTCCCCCTGGCCTCCTCCCCTTCCCACAGCAGGAGCAGCAGCGGGAAAGGTTGGCGGAGGGGGGCTATTTTGGGAGCGTCTCCTTAGCAACAGCTGCCACGGCCGTCTGTGGCGGTTTTTCTATAGGTGCTAAAATATTCCACCCTGGTGACTACTGAGTGCTGAGGGGTGGGCAAGGGTGGGGGCAGGCGAGACCCCTACAGTCCTCTGTCCCCAGGGTACAGCCTGCTGGGAAGGGCCCTGTCCTTCTGGACCCCCAATGCCCCCCCGCTACTGGACCTCACCCCCCATCAGGCTGCTGAGACTTTAGGACTCTGAGGCAGGCAGCTGTGCCCTGGTCTGATTTCTAATCTAAGCAGCTGGACTCCCTCAATTTGCCCCATCTGCAGAATGGACTGGCTGGACTTCAAGGAACTCTCTAGGCTCACACCTCAGGACTCTGTGACTCTGGCTTTGTGAACTGGCCCTTCCTTTCCCCTCCCAGTTGTCCTGCCTGCCCAGCCCAAGTTGCCCTCCCCTTCACTCCTCCCAGCACAGGCTCTCAGCACCCTGCCCCTGAGTGACCCAGGAGGCCAGAGTGGGTTCCCAGAGCGAGCAGGTAAGTGAGCACTCTGCTGGCCTAGAACGACCTTTCCCCAGAAACTAGGAGTCAAACCTGGTTCAAATCCTGCCTCAGACACTTGCTTACTCACTGAGTGACCCTGGGCAAGTCACTTCAGCTCTGTTGCCTCACCTGTGAAACAGGGATAATCACAGTCTACCTCAGGGGGTTGTGAGGATTAAATGGGAGAATAGGCGGGAGGCTTTGGCAAAGTCCTTTACAGGAAGAAAGTTTTACCATCATTACCCACTGAGCTTCAGAGCGAGTCTCATGCTTCCAGGGAGCCGGCCCTGGCCAGCTAGGCCATGCCACTCACAACAATATGAACCCTGCCTCAGTTTCCCCATCAGTATCAGGTGCCTGTATCATGGAGTTCTTGTAATAATTAAATGAGATGATGCCTGTGAAGGGCTTAGAATGTGCTGCGCTAATGGCACGTGCTCAGTGGGTGCTCGTTCTCCACTCCAGGGGTGCTTCCTCGTTGGGTGATAACTGTCCTCCCTCCACCTCCACTAGCTGCCCCCGGGTCCTTCCCATTTTCAGGTTCTCTGGCTCAATCATATATTCCTTTAGGAAAAAGACTACTTGCCCTTTGGGGACCCAGTCCAGACTGCCCCATTACAGCTGAGGCCTCTGAGGCCCAGAGAGGACAAGCAACCTGCCCAGAGTCCCACGGGTTCTGAGCTCCAAGCCTTTTCCCCAGCCCCCACCCCCTGCAAGCCTCTGCACGCCCATCTCGCCTCTTCCCTGCCCCCACCTCGCACAAGGCTGGAAGCTGCTCAAACATGGGATGGACAATGGACATTTCTTCCTTTATTAGTCTTGTATCATCTCCAGGGCAGCCCCTCTAGATGGGTATTACACTCCCCACTTTACACAGGAGGAAACTGAGACCCAGCAAGGAAGGACGAACTGCTGAAGGTCATACAGAAGGTTGAATGGTGGAGGTTCAGTGGTCCCTGAACCTCTCCCTGCCTGGAGCTGACCATCCTGCCTCCCCACCCCTCCCTGTTCACCCCTGGCCTCCAAGGACCCTCCCCGAAGGGACCTAGTCCTACCTTCCCCCAGGCCGCAGCCCCAAGCCCAGCAGGGTCCCCATTACCAGTTGTTCCCTCTCACCCCTGTGATGGGTGACATGTCTCACCCACCACGCCTCTCCCTCTTCTTTCTCCAGAGGTACTACCCCCCAGTCCTCAACCCCTTCCTCAAAATTGTGCCCAGTGACCTGGCATGGGAGACTGATCCCACGTTCTGAGTCTACAGACACCCTTGTCTCCGTCCCCCCTCTTGCCTGTCCTTCCGTCCCTTCCCTGCACCCCAAACTCCCAGGCCAGCCACCAGGCCAGGCCTCTGACCAGGCAAAGATGTCAGAGGTGGTTTGTCTCACCTGCATCTTCCCACTCTCAATCCCTAGGAAAGTATGACCAGCACACACCGGTCACGGACCAGATGCACAGGTTGCTTGAGTTTCCCCATCCCTTCACACAGCAAAGTTTCAGGCAGCAGAACATCAGTCCTGGCTGCTTGCCTGTGAGGTCGCAGAGGGTAGCAAGGGAGACAAATGAGATGCGTGCTATGGAAGTCTGCACAGTGCTGAAGGGCAGACCAAGAAGGGACTGTTACCATGTTTACTGAGCACCTACTATATGACCTGTGCATTTCCTGCACCACGCCTCATTTAATCTGCCCCTGTGACAGGGGTACTGTTAGGGTCCCTATTTATGGAAAGGTAAATAACTTGCTCAAGGTCACAAAGCTCTTAAGTGGTTTTGAACTCAAGTTGGCCTGACTCCCAAACCCATTAAACAAAAACCATACTTGTGCCCAGCCCTGGGACTGGCACGTGGTGGGCACCCAGTGCTGGGTAAATGAATGTGTGACAAATGACTTCTGCTGGGGCGTCAGGAGGCCTTCCCAGAGTGGGTGGTGTTGAGGCTGGGCTTGGAGAACTGCAGGAATTCTCCGGCTAAAGAAGGCCAAAGGGCATTTAGATAGGAGGAACGGCATGTGCAAAGGCAGAGAGGTGTGGAAGCATCTGGTCTGTTCTGGAATCTATGGGAATCTTGGTATATGGGTGGGTGTGGGGTGCAGGATAAGGTGGGTCCTGGATCCTTTTGGGTGAGGAGGGCCCACAGGGAAGGAAAACATCATGGCGGTTCATGTGCTGGATGCAGCCTTGGGGATCAGCTTGCAAGAGGGGCTAGAGGGGATTTCAGGTTTAATAATTTCTCAACCAGACTTTGAGGTGCCTCTGTCTCTCCTCTCTGAACTGGGGCTGGGACTCCTTAGTAAGACATGACCAGGCTCCGGGGAAGTTCTGGCTGTCTAGCTACAACATCTCTCGCCGCACTGGAGGAAGAGCACGTTCCCTCCTGCCTCCTCAGAAGGCCGCAGCGAGGTGGTAGGATGGCTGTGAAGTGGCTGTCTCACCAAGGGCTGTGAGGCGTTGGGGGCTTCTCCCCAGACTCCTGGCAGGAAGAAGGGCACGGATGTTCCCTTAAGACAGCTTGAGGTAGTGGAAACAGCAGAAAGCAAAAGTCTGGGGTTGGGTTTGGTTCTGCCACCACCCACCCCTCCCCGTGACCTTGGGCAAGCTTCTGATCCCCGCTGGTACTCAGTCTCCCCGTCTGTAAAATGGAGCGGTGCCAACTGGGTGATTCTTAGGGTCCCTCCAGAAGGACCACCTCGGTCTCCCGGAGGGTGGTGGGAAGGTCCTTAACTGCTCGTACTCCGGGAGGGAACAGGGACAGCCAGGCGCCATAGGACCCCGGAGCGACACTCTCCCACTCAGCTCCTTCCCGGCTTTGAGGAAACCTCCCCACCTGCCCTGGGGAGCTAGAAAACCGGGGAGTGGATCACGGGAACGGGTTCTGGGAGGAGCGTTCCTGGGGCAAGGAGGAAAACCTGGGCAGGATTAAGGCAGGAGTGGGGCCACGTAGCCCCCAGCCCCTGTCCCTGCACCGCGCGGCGGGCCCCGTGGGAAGGGGTCTGACGGCCGGCTAGGCGGAGGGCAACGGGCAGCTCCGGCCCCTGAGCCCACCCGGGGCTCTGGGGCTGGGGGGGGGGCAGCGGCCTCCGCAGTGGGGCGCGGGTCACGTGTGAGGAGGGGCGAAAGTCGCGGAAAGCCGGGCGGTGAGCCGTGAGTTGGGAGTTCTCGGCGCGCCGCGGGCGGCGGGAGCTCACGCTCCCGGGCTACCCGGGGACGCGGCGGAGGCGGGGGCCGGGGTCCGAGACCTAGGGGGCCGCACCGAGAGCGCGCGCGAGAGACTGAGAAGGACAGAGTCCGGGAGGGAGCCAGAGCGCGCAGGGAGAGAGCCAGAGCAGAGGCAGAGAGAGGCAGGGGAGAGACTGGGAGGGCGACAGAGACGAGACTGCGAGCCCAAAGGGAGAGACAGAGAGACCGAGCGAGGTTGGAGAGACGACGATAGGGACCGAGACAGGCAGAGGGCGGAGACCCAAAGGGCTCGGGAGCGAGACGCGGAGCGCGAGGGGCTGGTGCTGGCAAAACCAGGCGGCGGGGGCGGGAGGACCACCCAGGCCCGGAGGCCGAGGGGTCGCGGGACAGAGCCAGCGCCTCGGGGCAGGGCAAGGAGCGCAAAGCGGGGGCCAAAGCGCGAGCGGGGCGGAGAGACAGCGAGGGAACAGCGGGGGGTGGCGGCGGGTAGGC